CTAGTGTTTTGCTGTTTTACTCTTCAATTTAGGTTATGAAATAAACTCATTTCGTTCCGAGCGATTATTTTGTTTTATTTTTAGTGCTTCACTGTTGTCGTCATTGTTAATGGTTTCATCTAGCAATAAGTGTAAGAATTTTGAATAGATATTTTGTGTATTTGTGTGTTCATCACATAATTCAGCAATTTTGATAAGAAAATCGAAAATCACGAAGGCGAATTCCACCAACAACTAACAACAACTCGTTCAGCAAACAGACTGAAATACATTTATAGAGCCCGAAATCAGCTGACTCACTCTTGTGTTCGATGCATCGTTCATTCACCTTTCCTCTTTTGCTCTGAAGCCAATTGATCTTCGTTTAATAGTGGAAATCATGAATGTTTAGAACATAGGAACTTTACTAATAGAATTTTGTCAAGAAGAGTCATGCCTTCAGTGCGAATATTTTGGAATTGGAAGAATTTCGAAATGAACTTAAGAACTACGCGATTCTTGATTAGAGAACCAATCCTTTGAAATGGCAAAAGTCGATTGCCAATTCATTGATCAATTGTGATTGTCGGAAAATTTGATTGATTGCTAGAGACGGAAATAATTCTCATTTAAAAGTAAGTGAAGAAGTGCATTTCATATGATATAATCTGAAAAAAAATTCCAAAATCAACGTGATTGTTTTCATATTAGATATCGACATCGATGAAACAATTCGAACAGGAAGCGATGTTATTATTCACAAAGCGAATAACTCTTTTGATCATTTTGCTGATACAATCGCTAACATACTTTCACTACCATCATGCACTATTACAAATCAAATGTTGGTCCCATTGCGCTTATGAATGCTTCGTTAGAATGCTCCATTTGGCAAATGAACGTTCTTGACAAAATTCACGCTTTATTTGAAGCGTTATTCAGAGATCACCTAAACATTGTTCACAACAGAGACTATATCCTATGCGGGGTTAGTCAATGAGCCGTAGAATTATGTTTTTGCAGAGAGTATCAGCTGTGTAAACCAAACATGACGACTGATCGAGTTTGAGCATGAATCGAACAGTGTACATAAGCGAAGAATTTCATCTGAAA